ACTTTATCTTACCTTATCTATATGTAAGGCTGGGTACTTGAAATAGACTAAATGGATTGCTGGTAAGAAAGATATTTTATTAGGTGGCTGAAGAAAATTTAACCAAAGCAGAGCAGAAACGTGTTGACACCGACTGGAGGTTGCAAGCATTGCATAAACTAAGGCATGATGATCAGAACCGTGAGAAGCATTACGAAGAGATAGCCAAGATCCTACATGACAACAGGGTGAAAGAAGCTGAACTGCTGAAGACCATGAGAGAAGCAGGAGGAAAAAAGGTATCTGCATTATTTGTAAGTGGGACTGGCGCAAATCTGTCTTTTGCTCATAACATGCTAGAGCATCAAACTGAAAGATTGAAGAAATATTTTGTTAGGAATCACCTTTCCTGTTTTGACTGGAAGTTTCTGGAAGCACTAGAGCAAACTGGTGAGGATATTTTAGGCTTAAGAAAGCATATTCTTAATTCTGTAAGTTCCTCTCATTTTTTTTTTTTAATCTGACCCAAGATTTTTACCTTTCTCCAGGTGTTTGAATGAGAAATTTTTCAAAAAGAAACATTCACTCAGTTTAATAACATATATTTTGATTTAAGGGTGAAGTGCAATCTGTAATAATTCAGATGGTTTTACTGTTCCTTCTTCCTTGCAACATATCTGTTGAAGATACTTTTAATATCTCTGTTGTACAGTGGGAAGAGGTTAGACAGAAAAAAGCTCAACTGGAGGAAGAGCAGAAGGCTGCTGCTGCTGCAGATGAACACAGGAAGCAGTTTTTAGAAGACAGAATGAATGATGCGTTAGAATTGGCTGAAAAGCTGCAAAGAGAAGATGGCTACTTTGGTGAGGGTATAGATAACACAGTTCTCCTGTGTCATGTTGGCATGAAGCATTCAGCAACTGAATACAAACCAAGTGTCCAATATTAGGGATAAACTTAATATTAACTCTTCTACATAAGTACTTTTTGGCAGTATTCTTTTATGAAACCAATGTATCAGGCCAGACTTGGAAAGGATCTCAGTTTGGTATCTATCAGATGCAGCAATATAAATGGGACTTTCGGTAGGAGCACAGGTTTAGCTCAGCTTAAGCCAACGGTAAGATTGCATCCCTTAGAAATCCTCTGTCAAATAACCTTGTGCTGTGATGACATACAGTATTATACCAACAAGTGACCTTGCCAAGTGTTTGTTCACAGGAAGAAACACACGTTTCCAGAACTGGCCAGTACAACCTTCTCAAATGCTGCATTTCTGGTTTTGCAGATATTTCTCCCATCTCTGCACAACTCACACAAGATTAGTGATTAGTATTAAGGTTAGGTGATTAGTGTTGCTTTGGGCAAACTTTTTCAGACTTTGCCCTTATTTACATAATGTTTTTAATGTGGAGCAATTTACAACTGCAAATTATTAAAATGGGTGTCTCCTTCTAAAACTGCAAGTACAAGTAGCCATATTCCACATGATCTTAGTGGCCCATTTGTCAGAAGATTAATTATATAGGAAGAAACAGCACATGTGGAGCTGTAATTTCTTAAAATGAAATGCAATGATGCATAGCTTTGGCCTATAGAGCAGAAACATTCTGCTCTAATTCTGAGCAAATTGTACTTGCCATTAGCTGGAGTGAGTGATTGTTCCAGTTTTGCTTCCTGGAGGAGAACTGTTTCACCTCAAGCTAGAAAAATTCACTAGAAATTTAAACACACTTAATTTACAAAGAATCCTCCTCTGTTTCCCACAGAGAGACTGCGTGATTTAAAGGCCAGACATACAGAGAGAGGGGTAGAACTCCAGCGGGTGCCAAGGTCTGGAAACATCTGTCTGAATGATTTATCTGCATCAGAATCATCATCACACAGTAAGTTTTTAAGTTAGGAGCCAGCTCCCAGTTTTCTTTCACGTTTAATTTCAGAAGCATTACTGGAACACCTCACTGTGAGATTGAGTCATTATTAGTTGTGTAGGTGTTTAGTGGATAGTAAACCGGCTTATTGTTGTGTTCAGTTTCACACCTCAAAGAAATGTCTTTGCTACCAGGGGCAGCACAGGTAGGAAGTGCCTGGAGTGTGTCACGTTACAAGAGTGATCCTATTAAGCCTCAGCCTACTTTAATCCCATTGTGACATCACCATTTCACCTATGCTTTTTCTGTCTTCATTGTTACGTGTGATTTGGGGATGTTGAGAAGATGTAGAACTGTCTTTCTTCAAAATCTTTACTGCGAGTAACAGTCAGGAATTAGTCTGTAATTGTTTCCTCTGGGCTGTCGTAGCCACTATGGCTAGTGAAAGCAAAACTTAACATCACAGGCAAGTGATGTACAAAACCCTGCACACAATGGGAAACACCTATTTATGGACTTGCCATAGCAACCCAGCAGCATCTGACCTTTTTGTAACAAAACATAGGCACCACTTACTAAGAACTTGCTTTACAGGTCTTAGGACTGCCTCGCGTACAGCGGTACTAATCAAAAACAGCCTTTCTATGCCAGAGAGATCTGTTTTCCAATAAGCATTCATACTATTTGTGGAAAACCATTAGTTGCAATATTAAGTCTGAGTTTCTTGCACTGAAGTGTCTTTAGACAGAAGACGAGAAGAACTGGCATGCCAAGAACGGGAGCTGATGGCAGAAGTCAGACGGCTCAGACAAAAGCTTACCTCACAGGCTCAGACTAGACGTCCTCCAACTCGTTTCCAAGCTACAGAGTGGACACCTTGAGATGGTTTGCTCTGGACCTCAGCTGTACTTTGAAATTATTAATCAGTGAAATGATAAATATGTATAGTATGATTAAGGACTGATCATAGATTCTTTATTATAAAGGCCTTTGGAAATATTTTTATTAAAAAATGCTAGTTAGATGCGTGTTTGTAACCTAATTCTTAGTAACTATAATGCTGTTTTCTAAAATAAACTCACTATTTGCAGTATTTGTATACTTTGTTCTGGTGGAAGAAACAAAGCACTGTTAAAACATGGGTTTTGTCAGTGCTGTGTAAGTGGATTCTACGAGTTGGATCAGGGAGCTTTCCATTGTTCTTTTTCAAAGGAAGAAAAACCCACCGGGCAAGGATCATCTCTAGGAGGGAGGGGTACGTGAGAAAATAGCCTTTTTCTGGTGACTGCATTGGAGTTTACATATATTTCTGTATTTAAAGGAGAAAAAAAAACAAAACAAAACAAACATGATGTTTCTGGCTAACACCTTGGGCCACGTGTGTACACATTTAGGGTTTGTAAAAGATGTTACAGCTGAAAACGTGCAGCAGGCAAGAGCTGATGCCCCGGCAGGGACCAGGAGCACAACGGGGCTGCTTGGGGCCGCGGGACAGCTCGGCTGCTAAAAACCGGTTTTGAACAACGCACGTTGTGGAAATTATTTCCGTGAGCCCCCAACAAGGAGACGCAGGCCGTGGCCTGGCATTTCATCTTCATAAATGACGACGGCAACGGCACAGGAAGGAGAAAAGGAAAAAAAAAAAAAAAAAAAGTCAACCCGCCTTTGCCCCGTGTGAGGCTCGAACTCACGACCTTCAGATTATGAGACTGACGCGCTACCTACTGCGCTAACGAGGCGGCTGGGAGCCCCTTTCCCGCGCTGGCTCTGGTGGTTTCCCGCCAAAACCGCTCCTGGCGCGGCCGCCGCCTCAGCCCGCGGTGCGGGGGGCCGAGAGGTGCGGGGCACGGCGTAGCCG